TTTGTTGACAAAAATGCGGACCGAGACCAAAACTGTTCCTCCAAAGTTAGTAGATCACATCATATTGACTTACCATCATAAATCATAAATTCCAGAATCAAATAAACATGCTAACGATGGTTTTCTGGATTCGTCCTTAGCCAAATATAAACGACTCCACCAGATCACTTTTTGCAGGCATCGAAAACATTTCCATTCGTCCAGTGTTCTCAAAATTAACCCAGAAACAGCCAAGCAATTTCCCTAAACAGCCAATAACGACACAAAATCCACCTTTCAACACACTTGCAACTGTTCAAACTTCTAACATCAAAAGACCCGATTCTAGAGTAACACACCACGATGTTTACCATGAAATTGACTGCAATCATACCATACCATAGAAAACTCAGCCATCTTTCGTAGAAAAATCGTAGTTCAATAAAAACACCTCTTAACATTGCATATTACATTCCATATTAATCAAACACGATGTCACACGAGGCGACAAAGCTTCCTAGGAGCCACACAAAATCGTCCAGAGTTGATTTTAATCAGACATTCCGAGCAAAAAAATTCGGAAAAATAAAATCGGCACACTCAACAAATCATGAATCTTGCAACACAGCTTGCCGTTAACGAACTGCTCAAATCAAAATGTTTGGTGAACACCCTCGTCGTGAAGGAACATTAACCATGATTGTGCCACAATGTATAAACTCCATTTTCTCTCGAATAACTATCCACCATTTTCACAGCATGAATAATACGTTTATTATGGGTAATCTAATGTCTTTCATCTGTCCAGTTTTATCGCATTTCTTATAAAGCGCGGTAAAATACACGTTACAAACACAGAAAAACCAACATTTCTCTTTCTAAATGATGATTCAATCTCCGAATCCCGCGTCTCTCAATGCATAACAAAAACGACGCTCTGATTAGTGCGAGATACAAACCCTAATGCGGCGACATAATTGGTGCGAGATACATACCCTAAACGATCTGATTGGTGCGAGCAACATACCACTCTATACGCTTACTTAGAGTTATTTTAAAAACAAAAAATCAAAAAGGAAAAGAAAAACGTGAAAAATTTATTGACCCTTGATTGAATTATCAAACGAGCAAAGGCTGATATATCCTGTCTTTCTCTTTTTCTATCTCACGGTTCCGTAACTCCAAGATACGCATAACCCTAAAATACACACTGATCAGGTCGAACTGAGCTCGTTGATAAATTTCATTTTATATTACGAGCAGCATTCGAGTCTAACCACAGGCGGCCCTGAAATTATAAGAGTTTGAATGGGAATATTTACGACCGATCTTAGGAATAAAAAATACGTCAAATTCTAAATGAAAATACCTCATCTTACTTCCACGGTATGGTGTGGTTTAACCGTCAACTTTTCAGTAAGAATTATGGTGACTAAATATCAAGTGTTCAAGATGTTATTTGTAGCATATGGACGGTTTTCATACCAATATTTTAGCTCACTTTAAATAAGAAATTTCCTTGCTGAGCAACAGACTAAACATTTCAACCACGCACCGATTACTTCCATTCAACATTAGCAATCTTATTTCATTCAAGGTAAAGGCTCTTATGGGTCAGTGATGCATACAATATAATGGCCTTGATTTGGTTTCGTGATGCTCTGTTGGTTTAATGGTATTAATTAGTCGGATTTTCTGAGCAGCCATTATTTTAGTCGTAGATGTAGACGAATTAAAAAGCTTAAAAGGCGAAATTAATGAAAAGATATGAACCGATATGAAATTAACGAAAGATGCAAACCATTGCTTTATTATTACACTTTCGCACTTCTGAGGTTCTAAACTGGCTTAGTTGACGGCTTCTATATCATTTCTGATGTAAAACCTCGTAGCATTTTTATAAACGATCTAAAAAAAAATATATCGACAGAATTCAGTTTTCAACATGATCAAAATTTTGGCAGAAGTTTCTGGGTGAGAAAATCAAACCAATTTCCGGTGAAGAAAAAAAAACCCATTTAGTTCGGTTATCATGGTTATACCGCAAACTAAGTCCCACCTGTTGGTGAATTTTTGTGGTAATGGCAGCTCACGTACATAAGATAGATTGCGCTTTATTTGTTTCTCGATGGGCCATAGCCATGATCATGTATTACATCTTTGACGGTTTACGGTTTTGACAGTTGAGTGTTACCTGAATTCTCGGATGTTTGACGTGTTTAGGTCAATTTTTCCGAATAATAGCTATAGCTCATCAAGATATATAAACCCGCAAATTAAGATGTCCTTTTCATGAAAGGAAAAGATTTCGTAAATTGATTATGGAACGCAAGAGATTGGTTTTCTTCTTATTTGGTCGCTAAATCTGCATCGTCTTCTGAGGCGTTCGTATTTCAGACGCGGGAATTTGGGGATACGTTTTCCCCCGCCTCCCCTACTAGTGGTACAAAGGCTGAAAGTAAGTGTAAGATTGTTTCTTACCCGTACCTTCCTAGTAGTAACAGTTGTCTTGATATTGCTTACATAATTTTACTGTTGTACAAGCGATCTCAAAGGATGGTTCACTCTTTACATGGAGTTGCATGTGTTCAGCCAGCGTGGCTGACGTTTTTTTGTTTGTTTGTTTGTCTGTTTGTTTTGCAATATGGGTGGCCGTCACCACCAAAAATACAAGGATGTCAAATAGACCAGCAAATACAAAGATGGTGTAAGGATCAGCTGCAGGATAGCATAGCTAATAAAGGAATGGCATGGCCAAATTATAGACAGTCTAGTTTTCCTTCGTGAAACAGAACACCCTAAGCATGAATAGTTTAGCCAAATGGGAAACGGTCTAGTAGCCCATGTTGAGTTGGAACATGAGATTGTGAAATGGAAATTTTTCCTGGGTGCAGTGATAATAAAAGTAAGTTCCATTTTTATTTTGTCGATGAAACATAGATTACATGTCTGGACCGGAAACAGTTAAAGGGTTTTTTTCGCGTTCCAAAATAGTTTTTGCCAGAGTAATATTTTTTCTGAGTTGGTTTTGCGCGCATACATACTTATCTTCCCTGTGCTCTTTCCCATTCCGTAGTCATCACGTATTAAGGAAGGCTAGTGCGGGCACCGTAATGCACGTAGTTGTACGTAATTGTCCAACTCTAGGTCGAGTTTTACCGTTCGATCTGTTACAGTCGCAACTTGCTGAATAAAAACTATTGCATAATTCAGACAATTGACAGGACATCTTGCTGTTTCGTCGTTTGTTTCGGTAGACGTATTTATTTATATTTTTATTTATTTTTACATTTCTGTACCTCAACTATTAATTTTTGTGATTATTATTATTATTATTATTATTATTATTATTATTATTGCTACAGACTGAGTTCAGTACACACTAGATATATTGACTAGAGTTCCGTGACCATGGCGTCCAGGGCACACACAAAATCCAACTTCTCACGTACCCCTGCAATGATCAAAGAACCGTTGAAGTTAAACTCCCTTTGAAAAGTAAGCGCGAGTCAGAAAAGAAAAGAAATGAGAGCTCGGCAATCGACATTTAATGCATATCATAACACTACTTAATACTATTAAAATTCAGGCTCACCAACACGTGCAAACTGTGGTAAACCGGGAGGCTGGTAAACCGTGGTAGAATCCAGTCTCGCTCTTTTAATTAACACTATCATGAACGACAACGAATAAGTGCAATATCGGCAGGGAAAAAAAAAAGGAGAAACTTACCGAATTGGCTCTGCTTTACGGCAAGGCGAAGTGAAGACTCTTCCAGACAGCGATTACACTATGTAATGGTTTCGCGCTAGTCTTCACATTCGATGACGTCATGCCCCTAGCAGATCGCTGTTCCATTTGCGGTTTGTATTTTTGGTGGTTTCGGCGAGATGCCTTGGCGGCCGTCACCACCAAAAATACAAGGATGTCGTATAGATCAGCAAATACAAAGATGGCTTAAGGATCAGCTGCAGGATAGCATAGCTAATAAAGGAATGGCATGGCCTTCACGTCACGCCACGACGATTCGCCACACCATCGAAATATTTCAAGTAATACTAAGCAATTTAATGTTCAGATAGAGCGTCTGATGTTTTGCAAAGCTATTCGACCTAACGCTACACTATTTGTGTCTACGCTGTACCATTCTACATTACGCTGAGACATTTCACGCAACGCTACACCATTTGTGTGTACGCTGTACCATTCGACATTATGCAAAGCCACTTCATGCAACGCTACGCTGTTTGTATGTACGCTGTACCATTCGACATTACGCTGAGCCATTTCACACAACGCCACACTGTTTTTATGTACGCTGTACCATTCGACATTACGCTGAGCCATTTCCCGCACCGCTACACTATATGTGTGTACGCTGTACCATTCGACATTACGCTGAGCCATTTATATTTATATTATATTTTTGGTGGTGACGGCCGCCCATATTGCAACGTCCCAACTCGCTGAGGCACTCCTCAACAAAACGGTCAGCTACGCAAATTATTTATCGGGACCTCGCACCAGAAATCGCTCATTTACTCCTAAAAAAAATCCTCGAGTTAAAAAAGTTCGAGTCAATGTTTCAATAGCGTTTCTTTCACGGCCGCCATTGTTGTTTACAACTCGCGCCACGCAATTTCGCGGGATGATCGCGCGTGGTACTGTGACTGTTGAACAACATACTACGCGGGCGCAAGTAATGTTGGCCAATTTCCTTCAAGCCGACTGTAAGCCTTGACGAGCCCTTTGAGAACCCAATCGGTGAAACAAACGACTCCTTTCTTCAGTTTTTTTACACCGTAATTTAATCGGTTAAGTGGTCGTCTTTTAAAAGATGGAGCAAAATCGTATGGTATTGTATGTTTGTCGTTTTTGAGAAATTTTAGAAGTCTAAGGTCCCTCGCCTGTGCTCGATTTCCCTAAATTGAGACTCAAGCGTGTTAACCTTTAGCTTTTTTGAACCCATACAGGGACACAGAGGAATCTGAGGTCACTTAACATTCAACCTTACCGCGAAGATGCCAGGATACCATTTGACCAACGCAGACAAAGAAGGACTTGGGAGTAAATACCTCTGTAACTCGTGCAAGCTACTTTTGCGAGATGCGGTTCAGACCAAATGTGGGCATTTTTATTGTCAAAGTTGCTTGGAAAGTCTGTGTTTGTAAGTATTTAATACAGAGGAGTGAACTAATCAATGAATTTTGATACAATGAGGCTGTTTCTTATCATTTTGTCCCCTTTCTTGTGATGATATTCTTATTTCTACGTGATACGGAGAATTGAAGACGAAGGACATTCTAGTTGTGCTTACGTAAGCAATACTTCCAATTGACGATTATGTCGGCCATGTCACTTTTTCCTTTTGGAAATGAGCCAGCATGGAGCGATCGAGGCAAGATCTCTTTATAGAATTCTCACGAATACAGTTTTTTTTAGTATGATAAAAGAAAACAATGAATACCTTTGAGACTGGGGTTTAAATTATTTTGAATTGTATGTGGTTATAAAGAATTATGTTTTTATTTCATGGATACTGAGATTTACACTGTGAAATATTATCATTCGTATCTCTGACTGGACAAACAATGTATTTTCACAGTCGTTCACTTCCAATCTTTGAAATGAGTCGTTCAGTTAGAAAAAATCTCAGTATGTATGAAATGAAAACATCATACCATGGAAAGTGCTTGAACGATTTTTATTCACTTGTTGCAATGCATATAAAAATTCACTTTTTTGCTGCACTGTCTTATTCATTTTTTTGATGCATCGCAAGCCATTTATAAAAACCATTTGTGCACACTTGTGCCAGATCACAGGTATGACTGCTCCAAGTTGTGCAATTTGTACTTTTCAAGTGTTTGCAAGAGAGGCATAAAGATGTAAATATTGTAGCGACTTGCAGTAATGGATTCAAAGCAAGGTTTTTTTAAAAATAATGTTATGACAGAAACTGAAGAAATTGAACGAGTAAAAGCCTTACTAAATCCCCTTGCATCAAGAAAAAGAAGTTCTTTTGACTTCAGTTATTGGTGAACGAAAGGCAAGATTTACACTTGCAATTGCAGCAAACAAACAATGTCAAACCTTCTTTTGAATTTAGTCACAGTGACTTTCCTTGCCATTGAAGTCTCAGAGGTCAATCTCCATAAAGTAAATGTAGATGGAAGTTTATGAACAACGGCAACAAAAGATTGTTGTGATGGTCATTGAACTCAAGTTTGTTTGCCAAATAAGTCCTTTTGTTTACTTAAAAGTTGCATGTATTTTTATTTACATGCTCTCTTGTTGACAGGTGTCAGATTGTGACAGATACTTGCCAAAAAATTGTTTCAAAGTTTGCTTAGAAGCCTTTTGAATCATATATTTCATTTATGTGCAAATGATGTCTTGGTGAAGCCTCTTTCTTTAATTTGCATTACCTCTGTTTTCTTAAATACCAACTCACTAAATGTTGGTATGCTTATGGAGGATGTTGCCTTAATTAATGGAAGATCTAAATAATTGAGGTTCATTTGTAAGCATTTTGTCAAGTTTCACCAAAAAATTAAAAAAATGTTATTAACCAGTCTAGGCCAGTCTATATTGCGAAAAACTGTGCCTTCTGTCTTAAGTGCTGCCCTCAGCCTTCTTCCAAGACCTCAGGCACAGCTTTGCCCACTACTGACCTCCCAGTTGGTGAATAACACATATATATTTTTGGGATCAATTAGTTTACAAATTTTCCGATATGTTTTGTTTTGTTATAAGAAGACTGGAAACCAGTCAACCTTATTGCCTGATGAAGACTAGCAGTATGTAGTAGAAGAGTCGTGATTCTCATCATAAGTGACCACATTGTGAGACAAAGGATAATACTTTATTATTGTTGTACTTAACCATTATGAACAAGCACAATTTTTTTTTATGAAAGATAATGATAGGTAACTTTACCTCCAGACTAATCTCTCTTGCAGCCAGTCTTAAGTAATGATTCCCCATATTAAACAACCTGCCCTCTGAACCACAGCCATGTATATTCCTTTCCATCACATTATGTTTACCCTTTGTTTGTGGTATATTGAATAAACCAGTCAGATGTCCAGAAAATGCAAGTCAAATTATGTTTGGCATAAAAGGTGGAAGGAACAATTGGTTAAGTTCAAATAATGGTCACAAGTTTGTATTTTGATTGGTACAGAAAATCGATCAAATTTACCTGTCTTTTGAAATAACATGAGTCAGCTCCATGGCAATGTGCAAGGGTGTTATAGGAAACCTTGCAGTGGTCTTGTTCACCATGAAGTCTCTGTGGTTCAGTTGTAGAGCATCAGAAAGTAGAGGTCTTAGGTTTAAGTTGTAAAGGTCAAGATGACTTCCCTCTAATGAATTAAAATTGCTTGTCTTATTTCTAATCAAAAACCTCCATTTGCCAACATGCAAACCTGCTGCTGGAATTTCACACTTACCATATGTCCTCTGAAAGGACATGTATATGGAAACTCAAGATCTTATTTTTTTTCCATTGGAAATGTGGTATATGGTAAAACAATATTGATCATTTTTATCAAAACTTGTTTGTAAAGGTAAGAGGTGACTGGAAGAACCCAATAAGATCTTGAGGTGTTTTAGGTCTCACTTTGCAAGTTTGCTTGAAAGCAAAAATTCACAGAAAGATCCAAAATGATGGTTACCATCCAACATCCCACAATTCTAAACAATTTCAACAGGCGGTCTACAAAGAATATTCACGATAATATCCAGTGTGTATCAAGTTTCCAGATGCACATGTATGTTCTTCAAATCTTTCTTCGTGTGGCCAGGCCAGATTCTATTGTTTTCTATCTGCACATCTTATTTTTGATGCATGGTTGGAGTATTTTCATTGTAACACCATGATCTATGTTAACAGAGTTTTCTTCTGCTTGCAATTGGAAACAAACCTCTCACTCTCCTACCTTAAAATGCAGAATGCATATTTGTGATTGTTATTGTTTTTTTTTTCAAGTGGGTGAAATTAAAGATATGTGGTAGTGAATACAATGGGTTTTATTTCTTGGGAAAAAAAAACCCAGAATTAATCTTGTCTGCCAAAGTGTTCCATTACTGATGCATTCAGCCACTAATGTGTACATAGGATAATTGGATTAAATCAATCAGCCAATTAATTCTTACTATTCCCATGGCTTGTGGTTCACATCACATCATAAACAATTGCCGCACTGCTGATTGCTTCTTAAAAAGACACATGGTCTACTTCATTTTTTGAAGCAAATGCAGCTTTTTTTAATAAAAGGTTAGATACCAAGTGTACATTATTGCTGTTTTGGTTTCTCTCTTTGTAGTTAAGCCTGGTTAAGTGTTTTTATGCAAATTAAGATCTTTGCAAAAAGTTCTGAATTTAATATACATGTGTTATTGAAAGGCATACATTTTTAACAACTGTGATTTTCAAGTGTATTCTCCAACTAGTAGTTGAGAAGAACAGCTGTTATTTTATTTGTCCAAAATATTTGACCTTAGTTCAAAACAAAGTTGTTTGAAAATTATTTTAGGTAACCCACAATGTGTACTTCTACTTCTTGCATGATGATTTTATGTAGAACATGCAAAACAAACCAGAAAATAGAACTGCAGGTGAAAGAATGAATCAAAGAACACAGAATTTGAAAAATAAATAAGATGAATACTCCAATACTAAATTGACTATTATTTTTTCTTTTTTTGCTTTAATTTTTTTGTTGTTGTGTAAATTAAACTTGAAGTTGGCAAAGTAAACCGTGTGATTTACAACAGCTCCATCAGTTGCTAGATCTTATTGAAAGTACTGCTGAATTGGACTTATTTTCTGCTTTCTCTGTCTTGCACAGTCAATATCAGACTCTGAAAAATATTCATAGCTGACAGAACAAGGCAATAAACAATTTCCTGTGTCATTATGCCACTTAAGTGAAACACCTTTTTCACCTACAATTTGGAAATTGAAAGCTTCTAAAAAGTATAAGTTCAGAACTTTTTGTGTTGAACTTGCACTTCATCAAGCATGGTTATCTGTAGGTAAATAATATTCACTGTGTGTGGGCTTTGGTGAAAAGTGGTGTTGAACTGGGGGAATGAAGTTTGTTTGTTGTGGAATAAGTAGGAATTTAACTAACTACTTCAGTACTTGATATTTATTATTTATCAACCAAGGTTTTTCCATCTTGCTTCTGTTGTTATAGCAAGTTCAAAATTGATTTATGTACTAGACCAAGTGTTTCAAGGGCCCACATTCTTATTTAAAAATCCATGGTGCATACGCTTCTTCCACTGGAATCCCAAGTTATCCAGTTGCGCCCCTTCCCTTGTCCACAAAAAATTACAATTAGTCAATGATACATTTTTGAGTGAAATGTTTTGTAGAGAAAAGGTATTTTCAATGATTTGGTAAACTTACTCATGACTAATAATACTATTAATAAATTAGCATGTGTTTACAGTAAGCAGATAACAACGAAATGCATTGAGTTTTGTAACAATTAAAATTCCTACTCTTTTTAATCATTGTGTTCAGTTTTTTTTAAAAGAATTTTGTTGTTAATTCTCATAGGAATGGGTCTTTGAACATGACCTGTTTACAAGATCAGACTGTTATTCTTCCTAGTGAGGTAAGGCATAACCTGATAGGTATAATACAGTTTATTATAAGAGTCTTTTATTTTGATTTTAGAGCAAACTGGCTTTTATCTTTAATTTGCTAACTCATAAATAACACCAGTACACAACTTTTACCCAAGTAGTAATAAATGCATGAGAAGTATATAAAGTGAAATAGTTTTAGATGAACAAGTCATGAAGTCAGTTGTTTGGTTGGTCCTTTGGGCTATCTGTTTGTCATCCAGTCAATGGATCAATATTGATCTCAAAGTACCAAATACTGGCTTATCACACAGCTGCTCTAACGACGTAGGTCTTAAATACATACATGTAGGTTCCACAATGGCCTGGTGTAGGTAAGTACCTCAACGGCCTGGTACATGTAGGTGCCACAATGACCTGGTACATGTAGGTGCCATGATAGCCTGGTACATGTAAGTGCCACAATTGCCTGGTAATGAACCTTTTGTGAGCAACAACCTTATGTGGGTTGCAGTATCAAGCATCTCAGGAAATTCTTAACCCTTTCATACCCGAGATCTGGATGTTAATTCTCTCTTCTAGCTGCTACACATTTCCTTGTAAATTGGTTATGTGAATTTGATGTTACATCAAAAGAGCAACTTAACTTGATAAGTTTGAGTATTCTCATTACCAGTTTGCTGGATAATGTGTGAATATTACTGGCAGAATTACATGTTAATCACTTCTGGGAGTTAAAGGGTTAAAATTTGCTGCGTTTTTTTCCATGAATGTCAGGAATGTCATGTTCATAAATGACAGAGATCACATGAGTAATGCATGGCAGACCACACTAAAAATCATTATCTGAAAATAGGTGTAGATTATCTTGCGCTAAAAGGTGAGAAGAAGAAGAAGAGGGAAAGTTGGCTTGAAAATATAGAACGGGCATTGAAAAACTTGGTTTTAAATTCTTAGGAAAAGTTGTTGCTATAGCTTTTGATTCAGAAGAACTGTTGTGCTAGTGAAACTCTTAGAAAGTAAATGGTTATCAACAAGATGATGATAATCGTAGATAAACCGCTGTTACAAATCAAGGACCTCAGGAAAGGACTGAAGCTCAAAACACCACATCCTGGTCAACTTCTAGTGGAAAATCAAACAAAGTTAAAAAAAAAAAAAACCGAACAAACAAAAACAAAAGATGACTCAAGTAAATACATGCAGTTGTATTTACTTCGAGTCATCTTTGGGTTTTTGGTTTTCGAAAATTGCAACTAATTGAGCTTCTGTCCAGCTAGAACAACGCATGCTTCCAGGGTTGTCCATGAGTTCTCGGATTTTCGATTTGCAAAGTATTTTGACAAGGACTTGTGACAGAAATCCTTTTCGTAACTGTATGATGATGGTGAATTTGACTCCTTCTTTTCCTTTAGGTATTTCCGGATAACTTCATGCGGCGTGAAGTACAAGCACTAGTTGTCAACTGCACTTTTATGGAAGATGGGTGTAAATGGAAAGGAGAAGTGAGACATCTAGAGGTAGTTATGTACTTTTTGACTTGCTGAGTAAAGGACTTTCGCAACTTGCGGATATTGATCCTGCTTTGGTTACACTATTGTATCGATACCTTTTACTGCTATAAACAATTTTTTCTTATTACTTGCTTAATTAGGTGACTTTGTGGGTGCGGAAGAGCATCGTTTATTTTTGATGCATTGTAGGAATTTCTAATCGAGCTCCCAGAGGAAAGCTCGAATCCAAAATTGCAAGCCGTTCTTTTCCTCTTTTGATCGCCAAACTGGCATCATAGTCCTGGGCGTTCTTAAGGGACATGCGAGAAATTAGAGTTGAGAATTGTGAGCCTCCCCCCTACTTGGTTTAACTCTATCCCCAATATCATGCTGTTGTCTTCTGCTTAAATAAGTTAGGGGTTATATGGAGTTATCAACATAATTTAAAATGGCGTCTGTCGCCGTAGCCGAGGTCGTAGGCTAAAATGATATGGCTGTTTTTTTCCTCTATTTGCTCCATCCTCTATTAAAATGCACCAGTGTAGGCCTTACAAACGAAGAGGAAATGTGCGTAAGAATACTCAATTGGAAAGAAAAGGTCTGTAAAGTCTTGAAATCGTCGATGACAACAGATCGATATGGAAATATTTGTCGGACCGTACGCTCAAATCATTAAGGTGGTTTTTCCTTCTTCTTGCTCCATTCTTAATCCAAATACTCCTTTTTAGACCACATAAGGGAAAAGAAAACGCACAGAAGAATACTCAATTGGAAAGAAAAGGGCTTCAGCCTTAAAATCGGCGATGACAACAAATGGAAATATTTTGTCGCAAGATTTTCGCGTGAGCGATTTTAATCTTTGTCTTCAAGTTGATTTTCGTACATCTTAATTGTTTCCCATATGGCTATATGTTACGCACATTTGTCCACTGGTTTACCATGATTTGAGGTTTTAGAGATTTCATTTTATTTAAACATTTTGAAGCAATTTTATTCTTTTTTTAGTTGATTTGGCGTATCTGTTTTGGTTATATTTCACACACATATAGATTTGACCTTTATTTTGTCACGCAATCGTCTTGAAAGCTATTTCGCCCCTGGGGCCTGGATCTTTTTCCCTTTCGGCGTCTCAACTTGCGTAAGCACTCAACAAAACCACCAGCTACAAACACTGGTTATTACGACCATCGGCTACATTTATTACACAAGAAATTCCCAAACCAGCTTGAGTTAACGCTTCAAAAAGTAATGAATTCAATGGAAAATTACTTACCCCGGGATGGGTGAAAGTGATGGGTATTTTCTTCCCTTAAATGATTATTTAAATCTGTATTCCTCGGCGCCTGTCTGTTTTCTGATGTAAAAACAAAGCGTTTTGTTCAGTGATCCACTTACCGTTGTTGATTTCTCTATAAAAGCTAAGAGAGCAACCTTTAATATCAAATGTCCATGTTCGTGAACTGATGCTGTGGATTAAACTTCTAATATTCACTTTTCCCGTGTGTGGAATTGCCATCTCCTTATTTGTCTGTGCAACCGTGGTTCTACCCACCTCCTCTAAGTCATGTAATAGGCTGGTAATCTAGAGTAGTCACAGATGCTAATGTTTTGGGAGCGGATAGATATTTGCGGGTACATTGAGTCTCAGGGGTTTACCTGCTCGTGATTGAACTTTCTTTTAATAAAGGGCCACTTGAGTAGCTGTGAATTTCTTAAAATTCCCTGTGTACATCCTGAGTGTGGGAAATTAGTGAAGAAAGCTAACCTTACTGAACATTTGAAGAGTGAGTGCAAATGCAGACTGGAAACCTGCAGATACTGCAAAAAGCAAGTAAAGCTTAATGGGATGAAGGTACCTAAGTGCTCTTCTTTTTATTATTATTAATATTATCATTATTATTATTATTATTATTATTGTGCTTGTGTTTACCGTAGTTCCTATCTGTTTATTTGTGCAAAAAAGTGCTAGTGACGTATGACTACTTTCAAGCTCACTTGTTCAAAAACCTAGTTAATCGGTAAGAAGGAGCTGAGTCAGAGAAAAGCTCTCTGAGGACAAAATTTCCAATTTTGGTTGACTTGAAATAGGCACTTATCAAAGGAATCAATAAAGGTGTTATGGTAATCCTACTCCAGAATCATAAACAATATATCACTCCGTGACCATTATTATAACCCTTAGCTCATTAAGCTTCCCATCATGATTAAGTTAAGTACGTGTCAACGTACTGATATGTTTGATATAAAAAAAAAACTATATCCAATTTCGCACTGTCTTTTGTATCTGAGAACCATGATTATGCCACTAGAAGTACATCTTTGCAACACCAGAACCCAGATCCTTCAAAATAAATATAAGGAGATTCTGTCCAGTTGTTATTGGATGCTACTATTGAAATGATATTCTGGTATTTATGCGGGCGAAGCCCATAATACAGAAAACTTTTTAAAAGAGCACTTTTCTTGTATTACTTTTCACAGTATTAATTGATGTCTTCCCTTGACCATTTCCATTGTATATTTGTTGTTTAAGTGATCCCTCTTTCCCCTCAATATTTGTATCGCTTTTGTTTTTCTGTATGAAAAGAATGTAATTTAGCGTAAAGGACTCTTAATTAGCTCGCTCAGTTATGCCCCTCCTTATTTTCTCTCTCCTCTTTGTAATTATTCAAAAAGTTCCGATTGTTGAAATGGAGGAAATTAATAATAAATGCAAATACTCGAGAAAGTTTCCCTTAAGCAATTATCCTTGAAAACTTCTCCGTTATAGCGCATGCAACCAATAATTTTTTATTTACAAACGCACTCTTCAAGGAAAACTTTCTCGTGCAAATTTGGTTCAATCTCATGAAATTTTAGAATTTTCCTGTTATTTAACTGATAATGATCATTACTCCATTTTCAGTCTCACCAGGAGCAGGAATGCCCAGCATTTCCAGTGAAGTGTCCAAAATGCAACAGGGAAGGCATTTCGAAAGCTCAGGTAAGATTTGCATTTTAGAATGTAACTAAGTTTGCCCATATTACAGTTAAATTTATATCTTTTGGCCAAAGTACTTTATACGCAGAGTGGAATGACGTTCCTTGAATAATTATTTTGGGTTAGTTCTCGTTCAGTTTAGGAACCCCTACTCCCCTAAAATTTTGAACACTGGCCCAAAAATTTGGTTAAATAGATAGAAAAAGTTCACCAATATTGGAAAAAGGGGGCAAGTTTCTAAAGAACTTGTGGTGCTGCGACAGTAGGGGAGTTTAATGAGATAAATTTGGTTCTATCAACGAAGTTGATAATGTAAACTGGCCACCGTAAAGAGTTTGATGGCCAGTTTATATTATCAACTCAGTTGATTAAACCAAATTACCCTGACAAGTATTGGACCTAGGAGGAATACCAATACAGCCAGGTAGAAGAAAAGTCAAGCATTCCAGACTGTTTGCCTTCGGTCGTAACATTCATCATTCGGTTACTCATCACTATCATCTTCGTTCATCATTACTTGTCTTGCAGTTGTTACAACATCAAGATCCAGTTATGGGAGACTGTGACGGCGTTCAAGGGCCTTGTCCATTCTCACAGATTGGTTGCCCTAACATTGAGGTATAGCGATGACATTAATTTTTTCATGGGAGCCGAAGCTGAATAACGAAGAATAGGTCTAAATGAGAAATTATTGATCAGTTTTTGGGATTGATAGCTCTGGAATGATGAATAATACAACCCCGAAATCAAGTACTCAACTACTATGACTGTTTCCTATTTGTGTCGGTTCTTTCCCCTCTTACCAGCTTTCAATGATTTTCTTCCTAGCAAAACATTGAATTGTTTTTCCTTGAACCATGAATGATTCATTGAAGATAAATTGCAAAATTAACTGTATGTCAAATAGCGCGAAATTTCCTCTCAACAAACTTCACGACCTTTCAACGTAATTCGATGTAAAGTTTAAAACTTTGCTCCAGTTTGCGTTTTGATTGACATCTGCCGTATGAAATTGCTAAGTTCGTGGCGAACTTTAGGAATTTCAAGCGGAAACCATTTGTCAAAAGTTTTTGAAACGCACTTTTAGGCTTTCCCTTAAATATGCCTTGGTCATGAAAGGTTAGGGTTAGTTGATTCTCTATTCCAGAATGTCTCAACTTTTTTCGGCTATGGCTTGGCAAAAGGTACCATTCCTTTTTTCCCTTGACCGTTCCTTAGGACTGTACACTGTTGATAATTTCTTCCACTGGATGTTGAGTTAGTTTACTTCAGGATTAGGCTGTTAGACGTATGGATGGAAGAGAAAGCCCATTGCTGTCATTTAATCAGTGTAGCGTACTCGGAGAATCTATTCTATCGTCGCTATACTCTTTTGATTTTCACTGGTTGGCCAAGGGTGGGGTGACGGTTATTTGTATCATCTGGCGGAACCAGACTTCAAGTATGCCCTCTTTGTCGTTATGAAGTATTTTTTTTTTACTTTTAAATCGGCTTTTCTGGTATCATTTTTTCGTCACGCCATAACAACAGATAATATCAGTTTTGTTTTAAATCACGTGAGTCGGTTTTTACAAAACGTGAGCAGGAGTTGGCTGCTCAGTTTATGATATTTCCATAATTAGGGGCGAGTCCTTCATCGGAATACCGCGGCACTGTGAAATTAAGATTGGGAATGGATAGAAATATTATAAATATATTACTAAATAGTAGATTGTTATTGTTGATCAGTATGTTCTTGATGCCTTTTTTTCCACGATAGGCTCTCACCCAAGCGCAAAAGAAAGAGCACCTGGAGCAAAAGAATACTTATCATACCAACTTGATTCTGCGTTATGCCTTGCAATTTGGCAGAGATGTAGAAGCCCTTTTGATTCGAGATCCTAGAATAATGTCCAGAGATCCGAATATATTTCCAAATTTCGAGAGTGCGATTGCAGATATAGTTGCTCAAGTTCAAACTCAGGCAACTGAGAACAGGAATCTGATCCAAAAACTTCAACAACAGAGTGAGAGAATCACCATGTTGGAGAGGAAAGTGGCTTCAGGAAATTTTTCAGGTGCTACACCTTCTGCCCAAATCCCTGGTGAGTCCAGTGGCGGAGCGCAAAACCCTGAGATAACACGAAGGGTTACTAACGTTGAAAACAAGACCGCCGACCACGAAGTTCTTCTAGTCGAGAACAATCGCACAATGGAGGAAGTAAGACGTGATGTGGGTAACATGAGAAGGCAACTTGACACCACCCAGGAGAGTACTAGAAGGCATGACCGAAGGATTGAATCTATTGAGCACACGCTGGCTCTCAGGAACGTAACCCTGGCCGATTTGGAGGAATACGTAAAACAGCAAGAGTTCTCAAGCTACGATGGCCAGCTGTTGTGGAGGATTTCTGATTATGCCCGTAAACGAAATGACGCAGTGACTGGACAGCAAGTCTCCTTCTACAGCCCGTGTTTCTTCACTAGTCGCTACGGTTACAAAATGTGCGCTCGCATTTATCTGAACGGGGATGGAATGGGCAGAGGGACGCACATCTCCATCTTCTTTGTGGTTATGCGCGGTCAGTATGACGCTCTTCTCCGCTGGCCATTCAGACAGAAGGTCACCTTCATGTTGCTAGATCAGGATAACGTGGAACACGTGATTGACGCGTTCAGACCTGATCCGAACAGCTCATCCTTCCAGAGGCCGAGAAGAGAAACTAACATCGCCAGTGGATGTCCAATGTTCTGTTCGCTTGCTGAGCTGAATAATCACGCATATGTCCGGGACGACGCCATGTTCCTGAAAATAATTGTGGATACTTCTGATCTGTAACGCAATACTCCAACATTCTTCCTTTAGATGGTTGCAGTTAAGGTTAAGCAGTTTTTTTTTTTTTGATTACTTAATGTTGTGTGAATCAAACCACTGTCTTTTTTAAGCTACAACTACCATTGCTTTGGCTCCGAAGGTTTTTTTTGTCACCAATTTTTTCTTTCAGGTAGACATGGAAACTGGTACGGGTAATATAGTAGTCATTTTTTAATTGATTTAGTGAGATCAATACGAACTTTGAGCCATTCTTCTTTCATTGAACCTGTATGGATTATTCCTTTTTCTAAAGCTAAAGTGGAATTTTTGTTTTCATATACTGCATTATTCCTGTACTTAGGTATTTGCTTAAAGGAGGTGAAATTAGCACGCAGAAGTTAGTTAAAATAATAACAAACAGATAACTGCCCTAGAAGAAAGAGCACAATACTTAATAGAAGCGTGGCCGTCGATCTCAAAGTCCAGTCATATACCGGATTTAAGCCACTTTATTATTTCTTAGGCTTACTATCGCGAACTATTTCTTGCGTCACATGTGAGCGGCACGTTGCCTCTTCGATCTTACTGTATGTATCATACACTGAGTAAAGTGACGATTTCAGTTTTGTTTTCCCTTCAGGAAAGTCGTGATAATTGGCTTTGGCAAGTTAAACGGAAATGTTAGAGTAGGTCGGGATCATATTTGCTTTAATGTTGTGGAATGCATGTCCGCCGTTAGGCGGACTCCCGCGCTATCTACAGAATAGATGTCTTTAAAGTTAGAGAGCAGAGTAGTACCATTCTTGGAAGATGATTTTCAAAAACCATTTCAGCGCAGAATTACGGAGCACTTGTGCTGGCCACTGCGTAAGTGACAGTGTGGTAAAGTTGAACCTTCTATAAGCGACCACCTTATGTTTCTGTCGATGGAAGTCTGCAGACTTTTCTGTTAGTAATTTCGTTAGTCGCTAAGAGTTTTGACTGTGTTTTAACATCCATTTTTGGTGTCTTTGGTGCTAACCTCCTCGTGGTAGACACTGGTAACGCTTTCTGTTTGTTATGGACGTCTCAGGAATATTGTTGCATAGGTTTGTCTCTCGAGCTCCAGCGGCGAGATACAGAAAAGATCCTTCGCTGTTTATCTCAGTTAGATAAAAGTATTGCATTTTTAGCAATGGTATGGCAGTATAACAGCTACGTATTTCCTCTTTTTTTCCTTCATAGTAAAGAGCTCAAGGGAACTAAGGGAGAGAATTTTTGGAAAGTCATCCGTAACAATGCGGCTAATAGCACTGACACATCCACATTCGCAGTGTATGCGTGGGCTTTAGAAGAAATTGAATGCGTTTCATGCTTTCCACAACATAAAATCAAAGTAGACCTATTGCTTTTTATGATTTATGTTTTTTTTCCATTGGCTGATGAGTTGAATGACAAGGCTGGAACAAATCCAACCAGATCTATTTTGGCGAGAAGAAAACTGACTTTCCTTCTGTTGTTCCTCAAAATTTGTTTATACTGGGTGGTTTGTTGGCATTAATAACATAAGAATCTACGAATAGCCTATTCGTAGATTCTTGAGTGATTGATTCTGATGGAAGTATGCCAATTATATCCAAATGTTGGGGAGTGATAGGGAGTTGTGTATGTTGTCTTTTGGTGGAGAAAGGAATTTGAAATGCTTCAGGTGTAACTAGGATAATGCAAGTACCTCAGATACCTTAACCGATCTATTATTGAACCAAAAGATTTAATAGCCTGTAGATGGTTTTTAATTATTGAGACTTTGGTCCAGTGATCTAGATCTAGATCTAGCTGAGTACTAATTACGATATATCGCCAAGCAGCTGCTTTTTGTGTTCTAGCATTGAAGAATCGCATGTAACTACTATACGCTGATGAACGCTATTAAATTTTCTTAAAGTCTTATCAGTTGTTTTTCTTTATATCAACCTGTTCCTCGTAGAGTTTAGGGGATAGGGGAAAGTAGTGGGGGGGGGGGGGGGGAGGCCCAGTCAACGCAATCTCGATGTCATTATGTCAGGATTAGCGCTAAGGCCTCAATCTCTAATGGAATTGTACAATTGTGCAAGGATCTTAGGACCGGTACTATTTACCATCTTCCCAATATTCTGGAATTTAGTTCTCTGGAATCTACGATGACGACTCGAAACTCTATGCAATATTACCTTTCTATGATACATGCACCGTAGTACCGCAGGTTAATGATAATTTATCAAAGATCGCCACTTGGTGCTACCCTAAAAATGATAATACTTATGATAATAGCACTAAAATTAATAATAATAATGATACGACTAATAACGATAATGATGATAATAATGGTGATAATGATAATATTAATAATGATAATAATAATCATCATCATCATCATCATAATAGGGAGACCCGACAAATGTGATCGAGACTACCCCGAAAGGAGGTTTCACCAGCTTCCCCAGCAAAAGACCTGGAAATTCAAGTAGACCGTATCATTATGTTTAGGTGGTTTGTTTTAGAATAAATAAAATGCAGTGTAGAGTCTGCATTTTTTGCAGCCGGTCAGCAGAAATATTAAGTAAAACAAGATTACAGAAGTGAAGAAAAAAACATTTTTAAATGATCTGAAATTAACCAACATGTACACTTAGGTTTATTGTTTTGAAAGAAAGAACAGAAAATTTGACAGTATTTGAAAGATCAAGTTTTGATGATTCTACATAGTTTTTACTTACCTTAAAATGAAAGTAGGCAGTCGTTTGCTGTTACGTCTAGCATTCAGTTTCTATATGAGTTGAAGATAATATGATGCTTTTCTGCTGAAAGACTTCTCATAATTGATGGCTTTGGTTTAACTTTCATCCTGCCCTCGACGATGAAATAGAAGTATTCATGGGTTTAGTCGAGGCTGCTTGGTTTCCGACCAAAATCGCGGGCAGCCCTTTACTGCATTGGATCTAGAGAATGAGTTGAGTTTATGTTGAGTTTTGGACAAAACAAGACAACCTAGTTCGATTTTGCTCGTTGAACAATTTAGCATACGCTTCTCGTTCGCTCTACTTGAATTGCTAGAATTGAATTTGATTCGGTAAACCGAAATCAAATCATCGGTGCCACTTTTTCACAAACGCGACCAAGTATGGCTATCAAAAGAAACGTATTTACCATATTAAGGAATCTGTATTATATCAGATCAAGTTACAAATAAATAATTCTGAGGTTGCATGTGGCGCTCGGTGTATATAAGTTGTGATCATATTTGACTTTAACTGACTTTGTTAAGACCGCTGATGATAGACTTCAAAGAAGAAGCGTGAAGTAGAGGAATTCGAAAAGGTGATGGCAGTTTTATCTCTCTTCTTTGTTCTTTATGAGTTTGCAAGCGTTTACTAACTTTCTATTAATACTAACTATGGTGATAATTCAATTTCTTTGTTACGAGCAAAAAGTACCAAATTTATACGTTAGAAACTAAATCGTTTTAACTTCTTAATTTTCGTGTGTTTAGTTACAATCAGCCAAAAAATCCTATTTGCCAACTTTCTCTTCAACATACAAGAAAATAAAATTGACCGGCGTCCGAAGTTCTTGTGTTACTCATTAAATGTGGTGGGAGTTATACGACCTTCGGTGTTGGCCCTTAGTGACTTTTCGTCTATAAAAGGAAAAGAGATGAGAGAAAGAAAAACTTCAGATCATTCGGCATTTCCGGATGCTTGTTATTGTCTGGAGTCATGTATCAGCACGAAAATCCGATAAACTTGGTATATAAACCAATATTTCCCCATCTCAGTTAGCCTCTAGGTTTAACCTGTACCATTCTCGATCGAAAATGTTTCAGGATCTGAAACTCTAGCCAGGAATACAGTGACCTCAACTACCTAGATAACTAATACCTATCGGCTCATGACATGCATGACTACGTACAACAATGATAGCATTTGTGTTAAAGACTGCGTTACTAGAATAAACTACAAGAGCAAGACCGAAAATAGTTCTAGTTACATCCGGCATCTTTCGTTTTGATTTCTTGTAATCTTATCGGTCGTTCCAATACGGAAATCAACTTTACATAGGGCCGGCATGACTATTATTCGCATTACCTTTAAGCTTCGTGTTTGAGTGAAAATTGTACAAGGACATTTATGAAAGTAGTGGCGTGATTTTGCTACGTACAGCGGCGTGTGTGGCCGGTATTCGGCTCCCTTCGGAGTTTCCTTTTTATTATCCCAGGCGGGGAGGGCCCTTAATTCACTCATGCAAAGGAAACCAGGTCTACTGGGTATCGATTTAGAAAGGAACATTTGCATAGAATGTACTTGAACACAAATCGTCGGTAATTTTTCTTAAAACTTACCCGAGTAATTCTCAACTTGTTCTATGATGTCCCGCCGGTAAAGGACCCGATGGGCAAAGATCCCTCCAATACTGAGTTTTAGCGTAGCAATTCTCGACAACTTATCAAATCCGTTTAATCAGTCTTTGCTCACCGAGCTTGCCTTGGGAAGTGCATAGAGAATATCATGAAATCTAATTGTGTCTATTCGATGTGTATCGACATCCTTGTTAGAGGCATATGAATAAAATGCCGTCTGGTAATTGTTTCTCCATGTTGTGTGGTCTTCTGTGTGGTCTTCTGGTCTTCTCGATGGTTCGGTATCTAAAAGGACCAAGCTACTTTTCAGGTTGCTGATCCCTATATTATGTACGGCGTGTGACACCAACAATCCTTATTTCTCGTTCGCAAGAATGTTTTTCCTTTTAGGCGACGGCTGGGCTGGTTTCCCTCATTATTAGTCAAGTTATGAAGGGAAAAGTGATTCAGCCGTAAGGAAGTAGAGAATTCTCAACGAACACACTTTTAAAGATATTTTAGAACTGACACGGACTAAAGCCATCAAACAGTACTTGTATTAGGCCAGCATTGCTTGCGAAAGAGCTTAGTTGGACTTAGTTATGACAAACCGAAGGTTATTGGTGATTTAAAAAACTATCCAATCAGAAGATGCAGTGGTCAGGCGAGT